TGATTTCCTAACATCCTGCTTCTGAACACACATCACAAGAAATTCAGAATTGAAATTACTGCTGCACTCTTTCTTTTCTGTTTCAACACGGCTCTTTAGCAGGAATAAAATGCCCTAAGCTCTCAGTGGGTAGGGGCACCAAACTGCAGCCCTGGCCTCCAGAATTCACTCCAGGGCTTTACAGGTAAATTACCCAGGTTGAAGTATTTGTTTTCAAGCTGCAGCATGCAGCTGAGTCTTCGTACAGACTCTTTTCCAACATCTCCTGTCATGATTACAGCAAGAGCAGGACATAAGGAAATGCTGTATATAAGTGAGTTACACGAGACAGTGGCAGAAATGCAGCTGCTGCACCATACTTATGTCCCTGCCAGTCCTATTGCAGCACCATGTGAGGGAAGCGTATTGATGCGGCAATAGGAGATCTGTCAGAAAGCATCAGTGTGCCACAGTCTGAGAGACTCCTTTATCTCCAGCCTAACATGAGTGATTACAGCTGAATTACAGAGGCTTTAAATGTACAAGTCAATTTTCTGAGCTAATTAAAATGAGGGAGGCCAGAAGTCCCAAGGTTAGCATAATTCAGTTCCTACACAAAATAAATTTTGATTAAAAAAAAAAAAAAAAAAAAGAATATATATCCCCAATTCAAATAGAAATTCATTAGGTGTAATTCAATGGAAATAGTAATAGTCCATAGACTGTCATTTAACTTATGCCAATTATGATATAACAAGGACAAAACAAGGATAAACTGTTTGCGGGGACATTGTTACATGAATTTATGTTTCCCAAAAAATCAAAATTATCTTTGAGAAAACATGTTGACCCACAGAAGCACCTCAGATGCCCAGATAAAATATACACGATGGATATATAAATTCAGTATTACCATTTAAATCTGCGGAGACCTTATGCTAGCTGTCTGAGGACTGCATCTTGGAGATCACCATGAAACCAGTGCCAAGAAACACCAGTGGCCCACACACAGCAATATCCAATAATTAGAAGGTCATAGAGTTCAGCTAATGTTAGAAACAAGAATATATTTAGAATTTTTCCTTCTCTTATCTACATCCACATTAGACCAGCCTTACTAAAAGACTGCTTTTAGCTAAACAAGTCAGAGATGAACACACTTTCCTGACCCTCTTGACCCATAAACTCATCCCTATGACAGCCAACATAGAGATCTCCAACATCAAAGCCTGCCAAAGCTTTCAGGGCAAATGACATTGGCACAGAAAGAGATGGAAATGCTGCAGTCTGAAAGAAATTATTTTTGTTTATCATTCATAAAATGGTTACAGAACATAAGTGCCAGGGCTGCACGGCTAGTGGCTGTTCTGGACCACCTCATAGCACCAGGCTTCATGCATTCACCTTGCCTGAACTAGACTCCTACTGTTCTTGGAAGCAACCCCAGACACGGCAGCTGGTATGCCAGCCAGTGTCCCTACACCCCCAGGCCTACCCTCTGTCAACTTGACCAGAGATGAATGAGTGATTAGGTGGCTTTCTTAAATAGGGCATTGTTTCATTCAGTAATAGGAAAACTTCAGTGCATGAAATAAAGATTTACAACCAATTAGGCAGCCTAGAAGTATATGTTTCCCTTAGTTTTCAATATCTTGAACAACTAGTGAGGTCGAACAGTTTCAAATACTCCCTTCCTGCATGCCCCCCAGCTCACAACTGCAGCGAGCCTCCCTTGGGATGGGATCCTGGACAGGCTGATCTCGAGAGTGGCAACCCTACCACAGCAGAGCTGTTGGAACTAAAAGGCTTTTAAGGTCCCCTCCAACTTAAAACATTCTATGATATGATTCCCATTTCTTTTCTAACATTCAGTTTTTTGTCTTCAGCTCTTCAGTCTGGAGGAGCCGCTGTGTAAATATAGCTGGAACTAAGAAGGGATAACCTTGATGGCTCAAGGATTAGCATCTTACCTTCCTGAGCTGTTTACAAGCAGGCATTTAGTCTGGAAGCACAGTCTGGCCTCTTTGCCTAGATTCTCAGATGTTGGGCTTGCCTTTCAATAAATTCAACATATGAAAAGTGAACGAATGTGCAGTCAGCTTGGCCAGGCAGTGAACATGCCATACCTCACATCAGTCACAATGAAACAGGAGCTGACAAGGTAGGATGCTCCTGTATCTAGCTTGCTCCAGATATTTTGCACATCCCCCCTACCCCCCTCCCACCTTTTTCCCATTTAGGTCTTGGGAACTGCATTTTTACTTCATTACAACTGATTTAAGAGGACCACCTAACACTTCCAAGAAGGGTATCCTAGCAGCTGTGCACTTGAATTTGTTCTCAAATAGGAGGGAACAAATGTAGCCCATATGGTAACCCCAGAAATCACCCTGCTGTGAAGTTCAGTTGCATATTTCCCTTCTGTTTCAAAACACACATGGTTTATCCACGCAGTTCTACAGCACTATACTGCTTCTAAAAATAACCACAGCCTGCAAAATTCTGTGAGAAGAACAGGGCTTCACATCGATAGGTCAGTCAGGAGTCTAACAAAATGCTTTCCTCATCACCCAGACTAAATGCACACAAGACCATATTATCCACAGCTCCCCAGACATCCCTTCCTGCAGCAACAGCAGTGACTTGGGCTCAGGAACATGAGGCTGCTGGCTCCCAGAGCATGGCCATGAGTTGTGATCATCTCAGATGAGTCACATCACAGTAACAACAATGCTCCAAAAAGCACTCAGCCATTCCTAGATTTCCCTCTCAAAACAAGCCAAAGGAACATGCATTATGAGCAGGCATTACTAACCTCCCTGAACTAAGCCTGCAATCTACCTATACATGGCATACTCAGACTGCCTACATTATACCCACTGTGCTGTATGAATTCCTTCTTTATAGAATCAATGCAGCATCAGATCCTCCTTAGAAGCCACGAATTGCACTCTCTTCAGCAAAGTTTCAGCCTGCTGCTAATTAACACCCTGCTCTTTTGTAAACAACTGACCCAAGACATAGGCAGCTGCCTTCACACAGCCTTGTTGGGAGCCAGATGAGTTCATCAGCCACTGACAGCTGCTTGCCATTCTGTGAGCACCACAACACAGGCAGCAGCCCCTGCAGAACTAGAGGCTGCACCAGGGAGCATCTCACCAAGGCAGCTCAAGGAGCAGGGGGTGAGCACTGCTTGCCACATGGAAAGGATCAACTGGGTCTCAACAAAAGGTGAAAATTTGGAGAGAAACTTTTCATCCATCACCTTGCTGGGGAAAACAATATCTGTATTTTTCAAATGTAAACACACATTCAGTCCAACAACTTACTTCAGTTGAAAGGGTTGGAAGTCAATATACAGTTATTCAGCTAGAAAACAGAGCCCAGACCCTGAAGACAAGCCAAATTTAAATGTTTTTCTATCTATATACAGCTGAGGCAATGGCATAACAACCTTTGTAATTCCACAACAGCAGCATTAAGACAAGAGCTTATGGCTTGTTTCTAACAGTGCTGCACCAACCTAAACACAATCCTACGCCTTCTTGAGGTAGAAGCAGTTTCAGGTGTTTACCACGGCCAGTACCTTGAAGAAAAGAGTATCATTTGAAGGATATTTTTGCAACATTTAGCACAACCGCAGCACTGTAACAAAATTACATCTACTTGTTCTCTCAAAGATTTTCTGACACATATCAGTTATGTATTAAATGCTCTATTGCGATTACTGCTTTGTTCATGACCGGTAACTCTGTCATAGTAACAGAGAACACAATTTTGGAGGTACCACTACAATCATATTTGACTACTTTACTCAGGAGTTACTGTAATATTACAGCCAAATAGTTCTAGCACAGATACAGGTATATCTTCAATGTAACTCACCCCCCATTTGCTGTTTCCCCTTCCAAAACCAGCGTCAAACACTATGCGATAACAAGCAAGTCACTCAAAGAACACACCTTCTCCACTTTCTCTGACCATTTCCTCCAAACAGAAGTGCTGGGTAAAGATCAGTCATGTCTTTGTAGTTAAAATCATGCACTGAAGCTATTATACGCACAGGAGTTCAAGGACACTGTCACTGTTAAAGACCAGCAGGTTCAATATGCAGAACAAAATACGACTGGCTTTTTTTTGGGTGGGGTGCCTTTTCAACTATTCCCAGTAAAAATTTAATGAACGTTTGAAGTAATAATTACTTTGTATCTTATAGTTTGCATTCTGGGTACAAAATAAAAAAAATAAGTAAATAAATAAAAATCATGCCAACCTGTCACACCAGCTTCCTTAACCTAACAGTGATATGCACATAATAGGAAGAAAAGCATTAGTTAGATGATACCAATAGCATCCTAGATTCATAGGGCTAAAGAACAAGCACCTCTTTCTCAAGATCCACTGTGAACAACCTCCACTTTGATGAACCATCAATGATGTGAAAGAACTGTGAGATAGGTTTGGACATTCTTATTCAAACTTAAATTTTGATTTGTATGTTTCTAAATGAGATGCATCTTGATGTCGTTAGAGGCCTAAAACTAATCAGAACTTCAATTTTTCCACATTCTGCTACTTACCATAGAATCTGAGAAGAAAATTCACCGAAGGTTTAAGAATCCTTCGGACAGCTTCAGATATTTGCACTTGTCTATACAAAAATCAGTACAACTTGTGCATACACAATAAATGCCCAACATTATCTGTCCAACACCAAACATAACACAAGAAAGGTTCACATATATAAAGGCTTTTTCAAACTATGCAAGACCCATCACTACAGAAAGGGTTACAGAAAGCACAATTAATATTTCTTCTATGAGCGTATTGATACATCACTGATTTAAAGGCTTTAACGAGGTACCTACAGTTTATAAGACTGGAACATTTTTGACCCTTACCACATTTACAAGATTTTGGTTTTCAACAGAAATGGTTCTATGGCTAATAGGATCAATATGTGCACAGAGGTTGAGGAGAATATATCACTGCAGCACAAGTCAGACACCTTCTCTACAGACTTGTTTTGAATTGTTTATTGAGGTTTAAGAAGTCATCCACATTTCTATAAATATAGACATTACTTGAGTAAGTGACTTACAATGTCACCAGTGCAGGTACATATATAACCAACATACAAAAGCTCCACTGGAAGCTACTTCAGTTTATTCAAAAAGGACCGAGATGTATTAAAAAAAAAATAATAAAATAAAACAAACAAACAAAACAAAAAAAAAAAAAAACCAGCTGTCACTTTCATTTATTGAAGACACTAAAGTGCATTTTTGGTTACCTCCTGGACAAACAGCTGCTGGTTAAAAAATTTGATTTTTTTTTTCCTAAAACATATCTAAGTTATATTGATTGACATTCAGGTTTGTAGCTGTCACCCTCCTGATACATGGCAGCATGTAAGAAAGTGGTTTTTTTTTTTTTTTTTTTTTTTTTTACATTGCTGGTTGACTAAGAGGAGGAAATAGATTTTATTTATTTATTTTTTTATTTAATGTTTCCAACAAAAGTTTAAAGAGAATCTAACATTCTGATGAATTTTTACAGCACCACTAAAGTTAGTCCTAAAAATCCAGGCTCTGTTATAGCCCTTTTAGTTGCTAACCAAGTATCTAAAGAGTCACCTGAAGCTCTGTACCAGTAAGAAAAACTACCCTCCCTTTTCTGTCAAGCACTATCCTGCCCAGTTAACACTGTTTGCACACTCTGTAAACAAGAACAGCTTAAAGCATAATTAAAGCAGAACACAGGCCCATCTTGAAAATCTTCTTCCCCCACTCCCTCCCTCCCAGTAGTGTCAAATGTTTTGAGTGTATAAAGCATTATTACATTCCTAACCACAAAATACTTTAATAATTAGAGTCACAATAAAAAAAAAAAAAAGCATACGTTGAAGTGACATAGCAATACCACTTTAATAAAATGGGATATTTTGGGGAGATACAAGAAGTGCTCTGCTAAGTTTAACTTCATCTTTACTTCATTATGATTTATTTTTATTGCCAAAAAAAGTCACTAACAGAGCAAACATGTTGCGATTGCTAGAACCACAACAGCCTAAGTTGTTCTTTACAGCTTCTTTACTGCAATTAATTTACTTTTAATTGGATAGATCGAGGACGTAATACTTATCATTCAAAAATAAATTACTAATTTTGAGTATTAGCTTAAGTCTGATTTAATGTATAAGGATGAATAACTACCTCTAAAAAATAAAAAACCTTATATATGAAAAACATGCTGTATATTGGGAAATCACTTTTCCATGCTCCAACGTGCTGTTTACATTTTTTAACTTGTCAAAAAAGTCTCTTCTATCAGTTGAAAAACCCACAGCACTTAAGCTTCAAGTATTTGAACTGAACATGAGTCAATTTCAAAAAGTGCCAAATTAAAAAAAAAACACCCTACACATGTAGCCAAGCTTCCATAGAAATCCCCAAACAAGATAAAAAACAGCCTCTTGAAATAATGGGTTACTAGCTTCATACATGTTTTTAAAGCTGTATAATGTTCACCTAAATACTCCACTTATGAGCATTAGAAGTTCAAAAACACAGAACACCTTCAATGCAAATCGCTTGCAGAGGCACCCTCAAATGTAGGAGTACAACACTAAGCAGAAAACCTTCGTCATATTTGGCTATTTAGACATCCATGTCACACATACCCACCCATCCATCCATTTCCTGATAGTATTACATCATCTATTCGGGCTTCTGAAATAATGCAGAGCCATAAACTCAGAAGAGACTATTTAAAAAAAATAAAAGTTCCATGAGCACACTGCCTTCCACAAGGCAAGGTTGTGCAACTGATTGTTTAATGTAACTAAGCTTAACGGCATCCAAACAAGCAGGCCTGGGTTTGGAAGCTGTCTTATGTCAAATTTTGACCACGTAACTACTCTAAAACAGAAAGGTCAAAACAGAACTCATCTCTTCTTTTTCTGCTGCCTCAACATTTTCCTTCGCTTAATTATCATATCGTATAGCTTTTCCAGTCCTTCTTTGAGTCCATCTCCGATGATTGCACAGGTTGGCTGCAAATGCCAGGGAGTCGAAGAACTCAGCTCACTCATCGCTAACATCTTCTCGATTTCAGAAAGAGAGAGAGAGTTTCTCAAGTCCTGCTTGTTAGCGACTATAAGGACAGGCACTCCTTGATTTTCAGATATCCGCGTGATTTTGTGAAGTTCCGTTTTGGCCTCCTCCATTCTCTCGACGTCTACAGAGTCCACCACAAACACAATACCATCGGTACACCTCGTGTACGACTTCCATAGCGGCCGCAGCTTCTCCTGGCCGCCCACATCCCAGAAGTGGAACGTGACCGTTTTCGAGTTGCCCAGCGTTACTTTGATTTTCTCCGTATTAAATCCTTTCGTGGGGACGGTGTTGACGAACTCATTGAACTGCAGCCTGTACAGCACGGTCGTCTTCCCAGCAGAATCCAGCCCCAAGATCACGATATGGAAGCACTGGAAAGAAGGCAGGCTGGACAGGATCGGCGTCTGATCCGAGAGTCCATTCCCCATCGCCGGGCGGCGAGGTGACAGCGCGCTGCCGCTGCCACTACCACGGGCGGGGTCCAACGGTCGCGCTCGGCTCCGATCCTGCGGCGACAAACGCAGCGTTACCCCCGCCTGACCCGGCCTAGGGCTGCCGCCGCCACCCCCCCAACCGCGGGCAGCGAGACCGTAACCGCTCCCCGCCCAGCCCGGCCTTACGGGCTCGGCAGCCCCGCAACGCTGCGGTGGCCGCTACCGACACTGCGGCGCGGCGGGCATCCGCATTCCCTACCGCATGCCGCCGCTACCGCCGCCACCGCCACCGCCCCCAGCCCTGCCCCTCCGGCCTACCGCTCGGCCCCGTCCCTCAGCGCAGCAAGGCTAAAGCCGCCAGCGCCTCCATGCCGCGCACCTCCGTGCCACCAACGCCGCTGCCGCCGCCACTACGACTCCCAAACCTCTGGCAGCAGAGCAGCGCCCAGCCCGCGCCTAGCCCCGCTCGCCCCGCCCCGTGCCCCTCATTGGTCTCTTATTGCGGCGAGGGCGGGGATAAAAGCGTGCTCCGCCTCGCCTATTGGCTGGCGGCTCCGGCCACTCATCGCGGACCCCATTCCGGCACTCTCAGCCCACGAACAGGGAGGTGAAGCGCAGCGGGCCTTGGCGGTCGCTCTGTACCCTCTCCACCCACGGTGCGCGGGCGGTGGCAGCGATCTCGCCGTTTCTCTTGAGCAGCATAAGCCCATAAGTTGCTGCTGCTGTCACTCAAGCCGGCGCCCCGCCCTAAGCAGCTGAGAAGCGGCTCGGTGGCGCCTCACAGTGCGCGGTCCGCTCCTCGCACCGGAGCTCACCTAGCGCCGCCCGGGGGGAAACCCGTTAGCAAGGCTCGGCCCGGCAGCCGTAAGGCGTCCTCGAGGGGTGGGTGGGGGGGCGGGCGGGCGGGCGTGCAGCTCCCCTCTGCTCGCCTGGCCTTTGCGTCACCCCGCCCTGCCGCCGGCCGCTCCCGTGGCATCGCGCGCCCCCCGTCGCCTAGCAACGGGTGCTGCACGCGCAGCCCCACCACCCCACTTCCCCCCAGCGGAGAACCTCGTGGAGCTCCCCACGTGACCCGTCGCCCCGCCCCCCTGAGGGCCGCCGCCATGTTGAGGCCGGGCTTTCCTGGCGGCGCGTGTGGGTAGGAGCTCTGTTAGAGCGTAGGGAGAGTGTGCTCCGCGCTTCCGGGTTCGTTGATGTAGCCACTGAGGAGGAGGACTGTTTAAGGATATTCTGGCAATTTCGTATTTCTCTGCTGAAAACATTGCGGTTTACATTTTAAATCGCAACTGTGATGTGTAAAAGAGCGAAGTTGTATAGCGGGGCGTGGTGTAGCATCAGAAATGCCACAGCGTGCTGCAGACACGTGGATCAATGGTATCAGCGAGCTAAAACACCCGTTAGAATCCTGTTTAAAATAGCAACGTTTTCACGTACTGTTTAAAATAGCACATGGAGCTCAGGCAGAAAAGCATCAGTAGAACCAGCCTTGGTTATTTCATGGACAGTGCTCAGTGATTTGAAAGTGCTGGAAGCCAGATGAAAACACCTTGTTAAGGAACATTACCACAAATAATGGATTTAGTCATAAAACCTGACCATCTGAAATAAATCGAATTGACCTTTATTTCCTCCTATAAAATTGTTTGCTTATTTTTATTTAATCAACCTGAAGATATTGTAGCCTTTGAAACCTCAAACTGCTTCCATGTAGCATTATAATAACCATTTGTAATGAATCCCACAAGGAAAACATGGGCTATCTACTACCTTTATTAGAGATATTCCAATTTTTAACATGAAATCCAATAATGCTGCCTTTATCTATTGTTGAAAAAGTTAATACATAAGAACATATTTCAGTGCCCTGGAAAATGGAGTGATGCAGAACCAATGATTTTCTACAGCATGGCATATCTGATATCTTAAAAGATTATATATATATATATATATATATTTTTTTTTTTTTTTGGAAGAAGAATTTTATGATATCAGGGCAATAATTAAATGAGATTAGAGAGGAATGACCATCTATAGCAAACTGAGCATATCTGTGTTTATAAGTATGTACATGAAAATGATCCACCGTCTAAAAATTGATTGGAGAAGTCAATTGTTCTGTTATAACTTGCTGTAAACTGAATTATGAACTCTTTGGGGCAGGTACTATTCTTCATTGTGAGTCTTCTTAGTGTTTAGTGCCTTGATCTTAATTAATGCCTGTAGGCATTACTGCAGAACAGCTATTAAATTGCAATCCAAGTTGATCAGCCCCTCCTATACACTTCATGCTTCTTTAGAAGTCAAACGTGCAGACTGGGCAGGTGTTCCAGGTGCTATGGAGTAATGGTAGCTAAATTAATGGGAGGGTAAGAAAGCTGACACATTCTGCCTTTGATAATTGAAGGTGATGGTGAAGCAAGGCTTTGATTATGCTGTAGAAACTTAGACTGAGGAAAGTGTATGGCAAGAAGTACACTTACTACCTTTTCTAGTATGTAGTTGAATGGGGTCTCTTATTTAAACAAGTGACCATAATTGCAAAGTACATTTATGAGTAAAACATGAACAGGAAAAGTATTAAGCTATATGAAGCCTGTCATACAAAAGAACAAATTACCCTGATTTTGTGTTGGGATTTTTCACATACTGATCCTTAACTTTTCACTTCATATCTACTGTGTGTACTATGAGTTTTGTTCTGACTCGTTAAGAGAATGATGTTACTGCCAGGTACAGCTGGCTACTTATGGCTGGCATTTGGTAATGGGATCCCAACACCTCTGCCTTGTGACACATCAATAGTCACAAAGAATGAATTCTCAATGTGTGAAAGCCAAGCAATGTGTATAAAATACAATCGACTGTGTTTCAGTGTAATGATATGACACACCTACATGAGAGTGCAAAATAACATTTTAAAAGTGTAGCTTAGTTATATATGTTCAAAAATTGAACCTATTTCTCTTCTGTTATGCCCTAAATCTAAGATTATCAATTAAAATGTACTGTTCTGAGGTGACTTGCTTTGTTTCTAATAGATCTGGTTCCTGCTTAAAATATTATAGCACTTTTATCATAGGTTTTGAAAATAAACAGTAACAATGAAATTGCTGACATTGGAAAACATGAAGTTCTGCTTTTAAGAGTCTCTTAAAGTGACATACAAAATGTTTTGCACAAAGAAGTCTTTTATCATCTTTCCTACATTTGCTGAATTATTTTATTACTTGCAAGCTGCATGAATTATTTTGCTTTGATTAAAAAGTAGTTGGTGGTAGAAAATCTAATTTATTTCTTCACAATAAATAACGAAGCTTAGAGCAGCAGGAGATGGAATTGCTGTGTGTTACAGTTTAAGTTACAACTCTTATTAGACCAATTAATTAAACCTATTCTCATTTCATACATACCTTCACGTGAAGTCTAACATTTGCACTTTGCAGCTTTCATATTCACAGATAAATATCATGCCATATAGCTGGCTAGCAAAGAGAAAGCCTTGCTCTTTGATTCTGATTTCGAGTTGCATCTTGAACGCTGCTTAGGTGTGTTAGATGAAAAAAAATACGCACAAAAACACAACAGTACTAACTCTTTACTTTTCTTACTCCTAGAGAGAAAGTGATATGTCTCAGAGTGACTGATGCTATAATCTCCAGCTTCTGCGTTATGCGCAATTCAGTGATTTCACCCTCACTGTACTGATTTTTCATTTACTGGGAGCAAATAACTGAAGGTTAAATGTTGATCCTGTGTTTATAAATACAAAGGTTATAATCACAATATTTAAACCCAGGCATACAGCTAGTTAGGGGAACAGTTGAAGGAGGAGAAAAAAGTGTTGTTTTTGCGGGTACCCCCAGTTTTCAGTCTCCATACCCCTACCTCACTAAAAGGCAGCCACCTCTAAAAAAGAAATACAAAAAAATAGTTCCTACCTTAACCCCTCAGTTTGTGAGGTAAGACCATGAGAGACCAATCTACGTGTGATAGTAAGTACAAGCATTACGGCCTTGGCTTGCACATTTTCTTCAGTGGCCTCATATTGATAGGACTGAGCATATATTTACCACAATAACAAACATTTCACCTGCTACTCCCCCACACCCACCATATTTGTGCCATCATTTCATTTTTCCTGGAACTACTGACTTGAGGCAGACAAGCTCTTGCTGGCAGCCAGGGCTACTGAATGCTGCCATTCAAAAATGTCATCAGTTATGGCACTGCTTCCAAGAGATTTATCTTTTCCCCAGCATTCTCCTCCCCACAAAAACTCTGTGCTCTTTAGAGCTTTATTTTTGTATGCTAGAGTTACTCTATTTAAAATCCTATCAAGTTGAGACATCACTATATGCTACTATTTCCTCACAATGCTTTCTTTGAAGAAGGTTGCACAGTTTTTAAGCATATCATTTTTCCTTAATATAATACAAGCAGTTTGCAAGCAGATTAAAAGTACTACAATTTCAAATGGTAGTATCTGCTTTACTGTGTTCCTGCCTAACCAAACTGAATACATGAAGATATTTTCCAAATTCCACAGTAAAGGAGATGCCTGGAGTAAATCAGATACTGCTGTTTGCTCTGTTAGTGCTAGCACAGAGCAACAATGAAGAAAACTAAACAGAAAACTGCAGTTACTTTTTTCTTCTCCAGAGAACTTTCTAAATATTTAGTATTAAACTTTTAAAAGGGTGGTGAAATTTGCTGGATTTATAAAAGATGGGTTAAACAGATTCTTAGTAGCAGAATGAAAGATTCATTCTTCTATGAATTTGTGTTTCAGCTGGTTAATTGTAGTGGAGGAAGGATGGAAGTTGTGGCTGAGGCTTTTCAAGACTGATAATGGTAAAGGGTTTTGCTCCTCTGGATTCACTAGTTTAATGTATAGTGTGAGCACACGCAGTTGCTAACCATGAATTTTCACAAGATTTGCAGAAATTGTATCGTCTTTATGGCATCAGTGTCTCTGTTAAGACGTAGTTTAATACTTATAATAAATTATGAGGAGCTGGATATACAAATATGCACTTGCTGTGTTATGAAAGGTTGTTTCCACCGGGAGTCAAGCAAAAAAGGAATATAGCATCTCATCATTTGAGCACGTACAACTAAGTGATAGTTTGTAGGATGAAACAATAATTTAAACCACTTATTCCATAATAATCCATTCACTTGCAATGGTCACTTTTTTAAAATACAAGTTTTGTGTTTCTGTACTGCATATATCCAAAAGGAAACTCAAAGATTGGAATCCAGTATACAGGCTCCATTGTAAAAACAAACAAGCTGTTCATCTGTATAACTTTGTACCAGTGTATATAGCAATTGGAAAAAAAAATTACATAGAGATTACAGTTAATGGAAGTATTTTGTGGAAGATATGTCTAAAGTCCCAGGAGGGCTTTGAAAAATCTGCTCTGTCTGCCTCAGTGTGTA